ACGACGCTCTTCCGATCTCCCCAAAACCCCAAAACCCCAAAACCCCGATTTAGTGATGACAAAATTGGCAGATAGCAAAAATTTGTGTAATCAATTTTAATCATATATCTCTTTTATTAGTTCCTAAATAGTCTATTGTTCATTTTATACCTCATTAAAAAAATCATGATTTAAGGCTTCGTCAGCAGTTAATCTTAACTGAGTTTCATAAACAAGAAACTTTTCACAGAGATCTATCATGCTTTAATCTAATACCCTATTTTTAAATATCTTTTAGAAATCTTGTCTTTCCCAATCTGGAAACTTCAATCTGTGATTTTCTTTATCAGTTTTTTGTGCCTAATAAATTAACAGAACCAAAGTTACTTTTAGATAAGGATTTGGTGATCCAACTATAGAACCAATTTTAGAAATCTAATCTATATCTGAGAGCCCAGGAAATAGTGGAGCTCCGTCTATCAGTTCTGCAAGAATACAACCAGCTGACCAAGTATCTACTTTGCAATCATAGTATTTATTCCCAAACAATATTTCAGGTGCTTTGTACCATCTAGTATTAATGAATTTGTTATCAAATTTACTTCGTTCCAATATCTAATGTGTATACCAATCCCAGTGATTAGTCATGATCATTAACTCTTACTTATCCAAAATCTATGATTTTCAATATACCATTTTCATCTATCAGAATATTTGATGGTTTAATATCTCGATGCATCAAACCTTTCTAATGAATTTCATTCAATCCTCTCAGAAATTGAAACATGATGGCTTTGATCTTTATAAATTATTTTACAATTAATTTTACCTACTTCATTTGCTGTAAAAGGCCTCTCAATATCATTAATGATCTTACTTAAATCATATTTCATATAAGGGTAAACTATATTAATGCTAGTCTTGCCAACATACACTTCTTTGATTGTGATTACATTTTCATGCTTTATTTATTTAAGTGATTCAATCTCTCTGAGGAATTCTCTTGGTAGTCCTTCATCGGCCTTCCTTATCTTTATCTTCTTAAAGGCGACTATAGAGTCTGTGCGCTAATCTATCGCTTTGAATACTGAACCAAATGTTCCTTCACCTGCCTTTTCAAGCATTCTATAATAATGATCTTAATCTTCAGTTGATTTCATTTTTGTTTAATTTCGAAATTATTGTAATAATTTAAAACCTAAATGGTATGCTAATTTGTACTTAAGGGGTTTTGGGGTTTTGGGG